ACAATGGTATCTTAGGAGTAAAATAAATGCCATATATTCATTTTTTATTAACCCACCGAAATATTTCTGGGGAATTTTTGCAAATCACGGCAAAAAACGCAATTCTGAAGTCTCCTATTTGTGAACTGGACTGAGCACTGAGCATCCATAAACCATTTCAGTCCTCTCAACATCCCACTGAGATGTTAACCACCCCGATCCCAACTCCCGGCCGTTTCACAGCACAGGAGATAGTTTAGGAGGTTTTGCAGATTGTGCTTGACATTCTCTGGGTTTGGTTTTGACTTGTTCTTTGGCTGCCCAGCACCAATTTCCTCTCTGCAGGACAGTCCCATTTTACACACACACACACACACACACACACACATTATTGATGGTCTCTGGGGAAGTTGTCCTGCCTCTTAGGTCGGAGGCCAAGCTAAGGAGAACCTCCTGCTTCTTGCTTCTGGACATCAGAGTGAGGGCTCGTGACCCAGGTCCAGCCAACGGACTCTCCCGTTGAAGATCTGAATGCTGAGGGAGTGAGACAAAGGCAGTCAGAAACAAGAGCCCAGCTGAAGGGGCCTTGGCTGTCCAGCTGGAACACTGTCAGTGGTAAGAGGCAGGGGTCCCAGCAGCAGATCACTCCTTGGCTTCCATTTCCACTGCCCGTGGTCCTGGGGCTCCAGCTTTCCTGGCAATTCTCTGAGCTGCCGGATATCCTTTAAAAAAAAGAAGTCGTCTCTTAAATTATCCAGAACTGGTTTTCATAGCTTGAAACTTAATAACACTGACTGGTAATACACCTAGAAAGTGACCAAGCCAATATTTAATTCTAGGTCTGCCTAAATACAAGGCCCTTTATTTAAGTAAGTCAACGGGGCAATCAGTAACTTATTCAACAATTATTCATCACTCATTCATTATACATGCACAGTAGGCGCCATCTCAGAAACCTAAAATGTTGGGGATTTACTAAAACCTCTACAGAACTGAATTCAGCTAGGATCTAATAAGAAGGAGTTCTGTGCAGTGAATATAATTTAATTTAATTTCTATAATTTAACACCCTTTCCCCCCCTTTTTTTAAACATTTTTTATTGATTTATAATCATTCTACAATGTTGTGTCAAA